GCCCATGGGTCCTTCCTGATTAGTATAAACAGTGGACATGTCTACAGAGTGGACATCACACACACAGGGTCCTTTCAGCTTTGTACTGCAGGAAGGGACAGAAAGGAGGAAAAGTTTCATATACAAGTCACTGCTTATTAACAGGTCTCAGGGACTCTGGTGGCCTCATGGCCCGAATGAGTTGATTGTCAACTCATTCATTTAAACTGGTTTAAATCCACCAGCCCTAAGGACAGATGGGCAGTCTTCTCCCCTGTGACTGACATCCTCTTAAAACCTGCTGGAGGGTCAGCTGTGAGTAGGCTCTGACTGGACTGTCCACAACCACAACAGGTCTGACGGACTGACTGATTAGAAAGGGTAAACTTGGACACAATGCTGAATTTCTGCGTGGGCTATCTAGAATTTATCTGTGCCTATTTTATGATTCTCTTCCCAGAGAAAACAGAGAGATAATAAGGCTGGCAGTCAGAATTCCTCTTACTTAAACATAACGAGCATTTAAAAATGATGTTGGCTGGTACCTCACCTTTCATTTTACTGGGCCTGCTCTGAGCTCCACCAGCATTTATATCACGACAGTTGCTGGGACCGGATCTCTAAGACTGCACGGCACACACGTCAGCGCACCCGTGCCCTCCACGCTTGCCAAGTGCAGACACGTTCACTGAGCGCTCACCTTTGTAGCCAAACACTGACAGGGGCCTCACGATCTGGACTCCCGGTGTCTTCAAAGGAACAAGAACCATACTGTGCTCTCTGTGACTGGTCAGAAGAAGAGTGGACGTTAGGAGAAGTTACTACAAGCAAAAGGAAAACAGCTGGAGTTGCTTCCCTTTCTCTTTTGTTGCAGGTCAGTAGTGATGTCCACATGGGGAGCCACGTAAAAGGCCCCTCAGGGGAGCTGCAGCCAGGCTACGAGCTGGAGCAGACCTGGTGACGTCCAGAGGCGGGAGGGCTTACCCCGGGACCGGTGTCACCCTGAGCGATGCAGGCTGTTCTCAACAGCTCAACACGGTACTGAGAACTGATGTGAAGTCAAACACCCCCAGAACACTGCGTTCTGTCTCCACATCTCATCATTTACTTACTAGAGACACACAGAAAACTTTTCTACATCCTGCAGTCGGCCCACAGGATCTATCAAGAAAAGCCTCATGCCACTGCATCAGAACCGACTCCTAGCCAGCCCTGCAGCAGGTCTTCTGCTCATCTTTCCCTCACTGGAGCCACTGCTGAATTTGAACCACCTGCCTTTGGCTTGACAGCGCAGCTCCTCACCACTAGGCCACCAGGGCCCCAAGGGTTCAGATTACAGGATGCATTTATGTTAAAATACATCGAGAGGCACAGTGGCTAATGCACTGAGTGGCTAAAAGGCCCATAGTTTCAACCCAGCAGCTCCTCAGTGAGCGAATGATGGGGCGTTCGCCCCTGTGATGATTCGTGTGGAGGCCCGTTCCTCTCTGTCTATCAGGTGGCTATAAGGCAGCTGCACATGGTAACAATCAATACGGTTATCTTCTAATCCACGCAGCTCTAAGAGGATGGTAATACCTTCAAATGTAGGATATTCCACAGCAAAGGGAACACAGGCACATTCCCTAAAGTGTCTGCCAAATTATCGTTAGTGAAATAACTGTCAAAGATAAATATTTGACAGCTGATCTCACTGGGAGCTCCAGCAGCCTACTGCCAACCCAAAGGCATACAGTTCAAATCCCAAGCTTCTCCACGGGAGAAAGACAGGCAATCTCATCTCATCTCATCTCATGCAATTTACTGTCTCTGAAAACACACTAGAAGGTCAGCTATCAATCTGCTCCAATTCCACAGCATATAACAACAATCTTACAATATATTCCACATATTATGATTTGTTTGGAAGCAGGAGTGGCATCCACTTCCTAAACAACATGCTCTTGAAAACCTCGATGAACTTTGAGAAACAATAGTTCTCAAAAGCTTTCAGGTCTTTTGTTCATAGGGTCACTATGAGCCATGCTCGACTCGATGGCAATCAACAACAACAATTATGACAACAATTAGACACTGCATTTTAAGAAAATTACGTGGATGGAGAGAAAGATGAACCTGTCCTTACATAGAGAAAACAGACTAGTAGGATCGCCTCATTACCTGGAAGCAGAGGGGTTCTCAGTTTTCCCCATAACAATTGCGATTTTGCACTTTGGATTCCCAGCTCCTGAAACAGAAGAGAAAAGAGAACCTACCATGAAAGGAAGCTCACCAGCTGACATTTTACCCTGAAGGTCTCCATCTTCCTAACCTATTCCAGGCAAATCATAAGTATAAATTGTTGTTGTTATCGTTATGTGCCATCGAGTTGCCTGCGACTGACTCATAGTGACCCTAAGAATAACAGGCCTAAACCTGCTCGATCCTGTGCCAATCTCAGTGTCCAACACATCTACCCCCATTCCTCAGTCACTGAATCAGTCCACCTCATTGGGAGACTCATTTTCACTTAAACATCTTTTCTTTCTCTACTTTGCATCCTGGAAATCAAGAACACTTTGGGTGATTTCTTTAAAGTTTTTCCTGATCTTAATCTTGTGTTGTTGTTAATTGCCCAGAGTTGACTGTGACTCAGAGACCCCAGGTGTGCAGTGCACAATTCCGCAAATGCTGGAAGGGTGACGAGCCCACACTGTTCAGGCAGGTTCCCACTCACAGCCACCCTCCCTCGGACTGCCCATCATGATGGGAGGACAACGTCCACCTTCCTCCATGGAGTCAGATTCCATGGAATCTCAACCACAGGAGAGGCACAAATTTTAGGTTAGGGGCTCAGCTCACTGTGGACTGTGCCCCGAAAGCCCTCCGAATTCAGACGATTGCTTAGCGGGAATCTGTAAGGAATAGTCTAGTGGTGAGGAGTTGGACCGACAAGCCAAAGGTAGGCAGTTCGAATCTACCAGCTGCTCTGCATTAGAATTAGAATAAATAAGAATTAGAATTATGAATTAGAATGAATTAGAATCCCCCATTCTAATTTCTTTAAAAAGTACATTCATGGGGTTTGAAACACATGAAGATTCAATGAGAAACATTGGGAATTCTATCACGTGGCTGAACACCACCACAACGGCTCAGGTGTTCAAAGAATAAACATGACAGAAGACGTCCGAGGACAGTGATGGAGGTGAGGGTTCCTGGCAAACTGTGGGGAAGCCAGTTTCCTCACCCATTAAACTGATGTTAATAGAAAAGGGAGACAGGTATTGTATGGATCAAAAACTCTTGAAAGACAGATCAGACAGCACTAATTTTTTTACCTTATCTGGATCCTAATTTTTTGAAAGGGAGCTCTAGTGGCCTAGTGGTAAGAAGGTGTGCTGCAGTCCGGAAGTCACATGGTTCAAATCCACCATGGAGAAGGATGAACAGTCTCCTTCCATGTAATTTACTGTCTCTGAAAACCCACTGGAGGGTCAGCTAGGGGTCAGTTCTAACTCAGTGGTACTCAACAACAAAAACGATTTTTAAAATCCACAGTAAAAATGGCAATCAGGAAACAATTAGTAATTTGTTTTAAATTAGCAGATTTACTAAGTAGGATAGAAAATCCTTTTAGGTGTGCGAGGGAGAAAGATGACAATGTCCTTCCACGCGATTTACTGCCTCTGAAAACCCGCTGGAGGGTCAGCTATGGGTCGGTTCCAACTCAGCGGCACATAACAACCCCAGTGGCTCTGGTGACCAAGTGGTAAGGACTTGTGGTGCCAACCCAAAGTCAGGTGGTTCAAATCCACCAGGTGCTCTATGGGAGAAAGATGGGCAGCCTCCTCCCGTGTGATTTACTGCCTCTGAAAACCCGCTGGAGGGTCAGCTGCAGGTCAGTTCTGATTTGATGGCATAAAACAAAAATGACATTGTGATTTTAACTTTTAAAAAGTCATGAGGAGATGCATACTGGAGCATTTTTAAGGAATTTCCATAAAGTCTGAGATTTATCTCAAAGTGATATGGAAAGAACAGGCAAGGTGTGACGTAAGGGGTGCCTGATCATGGACTTCCTATCTGCACACCCTGAAGTGAACCCCAGCCTTGACACAAAGGGGCTCCCTGGTGTTACGCCTACACCTCAGAGCAGCCAGGCCAGACAGAAAATAATTTATGCTTGCAGCCTTCAGTATGGATTGAGGCTCAATATCAAGAAAACAAAAATTCTCACCACTGGGCCAATTGGCAACATCAGGATGGATGGCGAAGAGATTGAGATTGTACACAGCTTTAGTTTGCCTGGCTCCACAGTCAACACTCTTGGCACCAGCAGTCAGGAAATCAAAAAGCGTATCATGATGGGAAAGTCTGCTGTTAGGGACCTCTCCAAAGTACTGAAGAGCAATAGTGTCACTCTGGAGACTAAGAAGTGCCTGATACAGGCCACAGTCTTTACAATAACTTGCTATGCGTCAGAGAGTTGGACAATGGCTAGGGAGGACAGAAGGAGAATTGATGCCTTTAAGCTGTGGTGCTGAAGAAGAGTGGTGCATGTATCATGGACTGCTAAGAAAACAAACAGGTTTATCCTGGAGAGGGTGAGACCAGGCTGTTCCTTGGAAGCAAGGATTCTGAAGCTTCGTCTGACATACTTTGGCCATGTTACAAGGAGGGACCAGTCCTTGGAGAAGGATGTCATGCTTGGGAGGGTGGAGGGACAGCGCAGGAGAGGAAGACCTCCATGGGGTGCACTGGAGACAGTCAGGTACTCAGACTAGACCCAGAATCATTGGAAGATGGGCGATCTCCTCTCGTGTGATTGTAGCCTCTGAAAGCCCACTGGAGGGCCAGCTAGCAGCTGGGTCCCACTCAGCGGCACATTAACAGTGAACAACAACAGATCTCTCAAATCCTTCTCCATCCAAACCACCGGTAGGTTCGAACAGCCAACCTTTTGTTAGTACTCATGCTCTTAACGATGAGTACAAGCAAGGCCTTTTTTTTAAATTAAATTTTGTTTTAATAATTTCAATGAACATTTACAGAGATTTTGGATTTCCATTCATTCATTGTTGCAAAGCAAGGCCTTTTAATCTTAATCCTAGATAAATGAAAATACGTTTTATTTGGGGGAAAAAATTATCCTTAAACCCTGATTCCAAACTATCTCTTTCTAATACTCAGAATACATAATATTTCTGTCTGATAGTTCACAATAGGATACAAATTCTTGCCTGTTTCTCTCCATCATGAAACAGTTTTCTCAAGTTTTAAATAAGTATTCAATACATTTCAGGCATAAATTTTGAAGAAAAGAGAGAAGCCAACGATTCTTTGATTCTGTTTTGCCTAGCCTCAATGTGGAGGATAGTTAACAGATTCCACAAAATAAAGCTTCCCACGTGGCTCCCTCCTGAGGTCATTAAAGAGGAGATAAGGCTGTACATGTGGAGGTATTTTGATTTAAGCTAGATGTTTTAGGAAATGGGAAAAACCCTTTGCCAACACAACAGCTCCATCTGTCTGCAAGTGGAATTTGGCAAGTGCAGTTGATGGAACGCCCTTCTTCTGAAGAATGTTTTGCACTTTTGTCACATTTTACTTAATGAACAGGATATCAAATGTCATAAATAAAATGGATTTGGGGAAATCTACATAGATCATAAAGCACTGAAATGGCACAGGCCTTCTGAATGAAAACAGGTGGCTAGGCAAAGCAATTTTGTTTTCAGTCCAAATCCTGTGGTGTTTCAAAATTGCTGAAGAATTAAGTAAAACTAAAAAAAAACAGACCTCTTTGACATTGAGTAATGGATTTTACATTCCTAGGCTCTCTCAATCACATGGTTATTACATAAAATAATTTTATGGGAAAAAAAAGGAATGAAAGATGGAGGGGGGAACCCCACGATGTAGGGTATGGACACGGCCTGTGAACAAATGTGTGCACAACCAGATGCACACTTGTGAGTGGTCACAGGGCTGGTTCTACTTGCCCACTTTATGAGCCTCAACCACCTACTGTCGGCTTTGTTTCCTACACCAGTGCTCATGCTGCTAAGTGCTGGGAGCTGTGCCAACTGGACTGCCAACAGCAGGAGGCTCACCAGACAGGTCCCAGTGGGGCGTCCACACTAAACACGGTAGGAGAGAAGGCCTGGAAGCCTCGTCACGGCTCACCCAACACAGGTGTCGGTGGAGGGTCCAGACTCCATCGAGTAGGAACAGAGGCCTGGCAGCCTACTCCATGGGTCACCACGGACCCACATAATCTCCCACCAGGAACTTCTGAGGTAAAATACTTCAAGCTCACTCAGTCTTCACTTCATACCATCAATTCCAATAAAATTCATTATGAGCTAAATATCATGTCACAATAAAATTTTCAGTTCGAAAGCCAAAAATCCTATCTGTTTTCTTGGAGCATTTGTAACACTTTTCGAAATTCACTTAGTCCACCTCTAAATAACAAGTAAATAAAATGCTACATGCTGCCATTATTTCTGTATTTATAGAATATGGCTGGGCCTAAATAAATCTAAGTATATCAGAGTTGAAAATGAAAAAAGAAAAGCCATTTAAATAAGTAATAAATACTAGAATGAAAAAAGAACTTAAAAGTCATCTAGTCACTGACTGGAGAGTACACTTAAACAAAAAAATATATTTGAAATGAAAAGGATCACTTCACATGCATATATAAACTATTAACATCTATAAAATTTATAAAAGATAAAATTTAAGAGAAAGAACAATTTTGGGGAAATATTCACTCTTTATGCCTTGATTAGTAAGGGGAAGCTCTGACAGCTGAATGGTAGGAGCCGTGCAGCCAAGCAAAGGCGTGTGGTTCGAATCCACCAGCTGCTCTGCAGAAGGAGGGTGGGCAATCTTCTCTCAGGAGGTTTAGAGTCTCTGAAAACCCAGTGGAGAGGCAGCTATGAGTCAATTCCCACTGGATGGTACAAAACAACACCTAAAGAACATGAAAATCAGTTCAAAGACCTAAAGGGACAGATGAGCAAAGTATATAACCTAAAAAGAGGAAATGAGAACAAATATTAAACCTGAAACTAATGTTTCTGTAAGATAATATATGGACAAAACTACAGGTCCTAATTTATGGCACAAATACACTCAAACATAACTAGAAATGTAAAAAGAAAATGAACTGTTGCTGCTGTTGTTGTTATCGTTGTTATGTGCCATTAAATCACCTGTGACTCACAGCCACCCTAT